CCTGTTCCGAGGAGTGGCTGGTGGGTTTGAACCAGCACCTTGTGGTTCAAACTGACCTTGCGGTCCAGTGCTTATCCTACAGTGCCACACCAGGACTCTTGGGTCAGTGTAGGGTGTGTTTTTAACAGACTCAGTTTTGAGAACAGATTAGGCACAGAGATGTAGGCCTGAATGCTATTGTTGTTGTTATCAAGTGCTCTTGAGTTGCTTCTGACTCATAGTGACCATGTATAGGGTTTCCAAGGAGCAGACGAACGGCTTGAATGGCTGCCTTTGTGGTTAGCAGTCCAGTATTTACCCTCTTGTGCCACATGAACAGGTAAAGACAAATGTTACATGAGCATCTCCCAAGAATGCTGAGAAGAATGCTAGAGCTGGTGATACAAGGATTTTCCCCTAGAGCAGAGAGGGAGAGTCTTCGTCCGTTATTCTGACTACTACCTTCTTGAACTTTGAGAAAATAGATTCCTGTTCTTTAAAACCACCCCCTTATGGCATTTCTGCTGCAGAAGCAATAGGAAACTAAGCTTCCCATAGTTGTCTGCCTCCCCTACCACTTCACAAGTCCTCACAGGCCACAGTACCCAATGTAAAACCCAGCATGCGGGGCACTTCATACTTGCTATCTAAATGGAGGCCTGATGGACGGGTGATAAGTGTGAAGGGATGATGGGTGAGTAGGAAATTTTATACACTGTTTCAATCGAAGTAGTCTATCCCTTCCCATCATCAAATTTCATACTACCCAGTGGTCCAAAATTGAAAGTCAAGCCCACGAGCTGAGGGAGATGGGAGAGACTGTTCTTAATTCTCTGCTTGGGAAATAGCAAAATCTCTGCTGTGATTCCAGGATTCTATTCAGCAAGCTCTTATAGCTGCGAAGCAGTGGTTTCAATTCACAGCAAATTGGAGTACTTGGAAGAGAGAGACCATAAAATTGCACACTTAAATTTCAACTCTGTCTTGAAAAACCCACTTGTTAATGTTTAGAAAACACAGTCTGGGAATTCATGCAACGTGGCCAGCCTGTGAAGTCGACAAATCTTTAGCGAGCTCTTTCTGGGTCCTGAGTTCTTGGACTCAAGAGGAATGAATGCAAATGACTCCTGGTACCGAGAGCCTCTAACAGAAACCACTGGAGACTGCCAGTTTTTTGTAGCTGAAAAAGAGCTAGAAGATAAATTCTTTACCATCCAATCTATATTTTCAGTGTAACCGTTTTCTCCTTTCAGGCAGACTTTGGAAACTACTGGGAAAAAAAAAAAATCCAGTGTGTTTATTTTTCTCTGGTAGCATAGTGATTATGAATTGGGCTGCGAACCTCAAGGTTCAGCAGTTCGAAACTACCAGTTGTTCTGCGGGAGAAAGATAAGGCTTTCTGCTCCTGTAAAGATTTACAGCATCGGAAACCCTGTACAGGGTTGCTGGCTCCACGGCACACAACAACAAAGGGGCTGAGCTTTTGTTATTTTGAAGGGAAGAGCCTGGAAAATGGAAACTTGCTAGCTGCATCTCAGCTGGTCTCCTTCATGCATTCTCCATTGTCAGTATGGTAGGATACAGTTTGTATCACCCAAAACTGAGAGTTTGATGGGTTATTTGTGTATAGATATCTGCTCATGGAGTCCTGGTGTGGTGCTATGGGATAAAGTACTAGACTGCAAGGTGGGTTTGAACCGCAAGGTCAGCAGTTCAAACTCACCAGCTGCTCCTCGGAAACCCTATATGGAGTCTCAATGAGTCAGAACTAGTTCAACGGCACTTAACAGCATAACATCTGTTCACAGCTCTTGCTCTCTAAAACATCCCATCCAACAGGCTTGGAACTGGTAGTGACTAAAGAGGAATACATTGGTGGTAATAAAAAGGACTCCTGGTGTGGTGCTGTAGGATCAGCACTGGACTGCGAACCATGAGGTTGGGGGTTCAAGCCCACCAGCCCTCAGAAACCCCATACAGTGTTACTATGTGTCAGAATCGACTCAACAGCAATTACCAACAACAACATTTCACTTGTTTAACCTAGTTAAACAAATGATCTGACTACAGGTTTTTCCCCTCTAACCATAAAAGACTTGTTAACAAGTATAAAGATCAACTGCCATTTGTCTATTCAGTTCTGTTCCTAAGTGCACATGCAGTGACTCTAACCACCTGGCACTAGGTTGGACCTCACAAGTTCAAGGACACGATCCTCCAGAATGCCAAGTCTGGCCAAGACTTCAGGCCCAGAGCAAGTGTCCCCATAATACCTTCAGTTCTGATCTATTGGTTCCACATTTGAAGTTTCCCTTTTTCCTCTTCATGATACTACTTATAAGATTGTGTAACAAAAAGGGGGGAATAATCAAACTTGCATTCCAGGAACAGAAGACCCCAGGACTATCAAGAGCATGAACTGAATGTGGGACCCTAACCAGAGAAGCAGTGACACCAAAGATGGAGGCAGAGGTGATGGCATGGAGAGACAGAGCAGCTGAGGACTCTTAGACTCATGGAAAGAGAAAGGCTGTGTGCTGAGACTGGCTTCCAGAATATTCCCTGTGGTTGTTTAAATGATCACATATCCCTGTTTATATATATATATATATACATGCACCAGAGGGTAGACACACATTGATGTGGGTGACAGGCAGGCAATATATAACCGGAGGGGCGAGAAAAGATGGGGATGGTGGGAGATGCAGGAAGGAGTGTAGTGGTTGGAGTGAATAGAGGTAAATGCTGTTAACTATTGGTGCCTGGCGGTGACTGTGCAACATATCATGAAGCAGAGTATACGATTTGTTGAATGTGAAAATGATGATCTGCTCTGGACACTTTCACTCTATTCACAATAAAAATTAAAAGAAAAAAAAAGGAGTTAGTTGTTTGTACAGAACAAGGGAATATTGAATGGTTTAATATTGGGAAAGGTGTGCGTCAGCGTAGTATGCTTATCCTTACACCATACTTATTCAGTCTGAATGCTGAGCAAATAATTCAAGAAGCTGGTTTATATGAAGAACACGGCATCAGGATTGCATGAAGGTTCATTAACAATCTGTGATATGCAAGTGACACAGCCTGCTTTATAAAAAAGGTCTTTTAAAATTATTTAATACTTTTTAATAGATGCCACAATCTCGCTTGCTAAAAGCAAAGAGGAATTGAAGCAGTTACTGATGAAGATCAAAGAATACAGCCTTCAGTGTGTATTACAACTCAATGTAAAGAAAACAAAACTCCTCACAACTGGACCAATCCATCAACATGATAACCTGAGAAAATATTGAAGTTGTCGAGGATTTCACTTTGCTTGGATCCACAATCAACATTCATGGAAGTAGCAGCAAAGAAATCCAATGGTGTATTTATCATATTGGGCAAATCTGTTGCAAAAGACCTCTTTTTAAAGTTTTAAAAAGTAAAGATGTCACTTTGCAGACTAAAGTGTGCCTGACCATGGTATTTTTAATCACCTCATATGCATTTGAAAGTTGGTCAATGAACAAAGAAGACCAGGGAAGAAATGGTGCATTTGAATTTTGGTGCTAGCAAAGGCTATTGAATATCTCATACACAGCCAGGAGAGTAAACAAATCTGTCTTGGAAGAAGTACAACCAGAATGCTCCTTAGAAGTGAGGATGGGAGAGTTCCTCTTAGTTGTTGTTGTTGTTGTTAAGTGCCCATAGTGGCCCTGTATAGGGTTTCTGAGGAGCAGCTGGTGAGTTTGAACCACCGACCTTGCAGCTCAAACCAATTTTGCAGTCCAGCACATTAACCCACAGCGCCACACCAGGACTCACTTAGTATGGTTGGTGATGTTAGCAAAAGAGTCTAGTCCCTGGAAAAGGATATCATGCTTGATAAAGTGGAGGATCAGTGAAAAGGAGGAAGACTCCCAATGAGATTGGCTCAAACATAACATGTGAGGATGATACAGTTGTTGTGTTGTTGTTAACTGCCTCTGAGTCAGTTCTGACCCAAGCAACTCTGTACAGGGGTTCCAAGGATTTCCTGATGAGCTTGAATGACTGACTTTGCAGTCCAGTGCACTAACCCACAGCGCCATACCACGATTCCAGAGAAAATTACTCACTGACAATACTATGGAACACAGACAGAGGTATAGTACGACTATTATCATTATGATTAATAATATGTGCTAACATCTGTCTAGGATCCTGGTGTTGAGCTGTAGGACAAGCATTGGACTGCTTAACTGCAAGGTCAGTGGTTCAAACCCACCAGCTGCTTCTTGGAGACCCTGTAAATGGTCGCTATAAGTCAGAACCCTCTTGGTGGCACTTCACAACACCAACAAACACCTGTCTTGGTAGGTTGTGTGCTTTTCTGACTCCCCTGGCCTAAATAACAGGAAGCAGTTCTGCACTTTAGCAGCTTTTGCAAATAGATATTGGAACCTTTGGATGTGGGCTTACACAGTTTTACAGCTGTGATTTCATCCAAGCACCACCAGATGGTAGTATTATGAGGTTATTTTAATCTAAATTCCAAGGACTGTTAAGTACCTTGGAGTTGGTTCTGACTCATAGCTACCCTGTATAGGGTTTCTGAGGAGTAGCTGTTGGTTTTGAACCACAGACTTTGAGGTTAGCAGTTCAGTGCTTCTCCTACGGCACCACACCAGAACCTCAAATTGCAAGGGCTAGGTATATAATAAAAGGAGCCCTGGTGGTACGGTGGTTAAATGCTCAGCTGTTAACTGAAAGGTGGGTGGTTCAAACCCACCAGCTGCTCCGCGGGAGGGAGACAGAGGTGGCAGTCTACTTCTGCACAGAGACACGGCCTTGGAAAGCTTCTGAGGGAGTTCTACTTGGTCCGACAGCGTCCCTATAGCTCAGAGTTCAATCTGAAGGGCAATGGGTTTGGTTTGATATCTGTGGTTAAAATTCCATTTGGGAATGGATTTTATTACTTTAATAGCAACATTAGAGGAAGGCGTGTTTGAAATCTCTCTCTTTTAAGGTTTAAAAGAACAGACGACGCAGCAGACATGGGGGAAGACGAGTACGGTGCCGCAGGAAGACCTTCAGGATCACAAGCGCCGCCGAGCCGGTCCCTGCTCACGGTGACGCTACAGGACCGAGCAGAACTGACTGATGGGTGGTCAGGGCTGAGCAGGGACCCGGCGGCAGACGGCCTCCTCTTTCACCTGCACAGCAGCAGTAGGTTCCCAACCTTGAGCCACCAGGGCGCCTTCATCCAGGAGGAGAAGCCGAAAAGATACCAAGACCTTCCGCCCCAGAGCTGGAGCGGCTGCTGGGTTCAACCGCCAACCTGTCGGCTAGCAGCCCCACAGGTCGCCTTCAGTTTGCCTTCACTGCACAACTCAAATTGCTGTATTTTCTTCTTCCTTTTTTTTAAAACCATTTCATTATATGTTGCTGATAGTGTATATAAAACAATTACTCTTCTGACAGACACTCATGAAAATTTAGACAAATTGATGTCTGAATCTGAATTTTCACCAACTGATGAAAGTAGAAATACATAGAGTCCTACACATACTATAAACTTCTGTACAAATGCTATAAATATTCACTGGTTTATGAAAGCTTAGAAAGATTTATTTTACTACAAAAATGAATCGTTTTCTGGGGCCGAAAGGGATTCTGGAGGCCTGGTATGGTGCTGTAGGATAAGCACTGGACTGCAAGCTTGCTTTGAACTGCAAGGTGGGTGGTTCAAAGTCGCCAGCCGCTCCTCAAAAACAGGGTCTCTATTAGTCAAAACCGACTGGACTTCACTAAACCATAAAACAACAATAACAAAGGGATTTTGACTTGAAGATAATCTAATCGGCTGGGGGTCATGATGAGCATTTTGCAGACAGAATTGTTTGAAAGCCACAGCTACCTGAGAAATATTCAGGCCTGTGAGCCAGGCAACCAGCCAGCACTGTGGAACTGCTGTCTTCATAGTGGTGATGCCAGAGAAGCCAGACATGGTGAATAAGAGTTTGGTGATTCTCATTTCTGGGGCCGGTCACTCTCTGGGTAGGTTGATGGGTGCATTGGCTGGGCCAGACAGCAGGGCAGAGTATGATGGGGGCGGGGCTCCCACTCAAATCGTATTCCTTAACGGTTGTCTTTCTAATTTTCTCAACTGTAAGATCCACAAGGAGGGTGGAGCCTGTGAATCTTGTGATCACTTTGTGACCCCAATGATGTACTTCATAAGTGTGGAAGAACAGTTCTTGTGGGAGATGGAGAAGTATGCTCAGAGGAGAGAGCAACAAGGCCGTAACCAGAACCAAGAAAGGAGGGAATTAACAATGAAGAAGTCCTCCTTAAAGAGTGTCAAATGCCCTAGAGATAAAGAAAGATAAGATGGAAAAGTGCCCATTGGGTTCATCAACATAAGGTTAATGGTAAGAGGTGAGAGAATGCTGCAGAACCGATGGAGGTAGGTGTTGGGTTGCAGTGAGTGGAAGAAAGAATGGGACCCAGGAAAGCCAAGTAGAGAACTCTTCTGAGCTTGCCCTGGAAAGGGAGTAGTAGTTATAGATTCTGTAATTCAGAAGAATGCAGGATTGTAGAATGGATTTGTAGACAGTAAGAGATAGTTACACTTTATGAGGTTTTATTAAAAATTATTGCTACTAGGGTTCCAGTTCATACATGCATGGGTTTATTTCAAAAACAAAAACAAAAACTGCATTTAAACATGTCTCTTACATTAGCGGAGGACTGCAAGTAATCTCAGGAATATACTTGTCTTTGTCTCATTAGAATAGCTTAAAAAAAGGGTGTCCAAACAAAAAAGGGGCTTCTATGGGGATCTGGTAAGGAGCTCTGGTAGCGTAGTGGTTACAAATCACGCTGCAAACCTCAAGGTCAGCAGTTCGAAACTATCAGCTGTTTCGTGGGAAAAAGATGAGGCTTTCTGTTCCTGTAAAGATTTACAGCCTCGGAAACCCTATATAGGGTCACTATGAGTCAGAACCGACTCCATAGCATGCAACAACAACAACAACATGGGGATCTGGTAAATTCAAGACAGAGAGGTCCGCTTAGAAGGTTATAGTAAATGTTTTTAGGAGCCCAAAGGGATATCTTGATAGTTTCTCAAAGGACACAGGATGATCCAGAGAGCTTATTAGGAAGAAGTTTTAAGAAAACAGAAAAATGTATTGGTGAGGAAAAGGCCAGGTCGGATTTTTTTCCATTATGATAATGTGCCTGCTTATTCTTTGAGAGTAGCAAGAGCTACTTGGTGGAGACTTTGCTGGGAAATTACACCATCCACCCTACAGCCCTGATCTCACCCTTTTAGACTTCTCAAATAATATTGAAAAGGAACATAACTTGAATCTCCCGAGGATACCCAAACTAGCATTTTGACATGGTGTTAACTGAAGAGCACAGAATTCTTCAGGGGAAGGGTTAGAGAGACAGAAACATCACCTTCAGAAGTGTACAGACCTACAGATGAACCTGTTCGGTTGAGAAATAGTAGCATCATGTTTTGATATTTTTGTTTAACAAAGTTTTCTATGATTTTATAGCAATACTTTCTGACTTACCCTTGTACATGCTGAAGAGAAAAATGATAGTTGAAAGAAACTAAAGATAGCAAAGACAGTGAGGAAAAAATACAGGGAATTCATTCAAGAGCACTGTTGAAGGGGTAACCCTTAGGAAGGAGAACATAGACATAGTTCTTCAGCCGAGACCAGAGGGGAAAAGTAGGGGAGAGCCAGTGAGGAGGCATTCCTTACACCAGAGGGGTGTAAGCCTTGTGTTTCTTGGTGGTGATTTGGTAGGAAAGGCTGTCTTGTTGTTGTTGTTGTTAAGTGCCATCGAGTGATGACTTGGTATCAGGTTTTTGTGGAGCAGCTGTTGAGTTTGAACCACCCACCTTGCAATTCAAACTGACTTGCGGTCTACTGTTTACCATACAGCGCCACCCCAGGATGCCAAGGTTGTTTACTAGAGGGTTATAAGTGAAATCTCAAAGAGTCAATGGTTTGTCATGACATGCCATGTAATAACAACTATTAACAGATGGTTGAGTAGTGTTGAGAACTAACTGTAGTTGATAACAAAATAACTTCAGTGATGTTATTATGTGTGTTCTTACATTACCTTCCCCAGCAGTGCCCAGCAATCTGAGTGAAGTTCAAAGAAATGTGGGTTATTAGATGAATATCGGGTTGAGGTAAAAGACAAGAGAATTTATATCTTGAAAGTGCTGGCAAAAATGGTTGAAGCAATGGACCATGGGATCTACATTAGACAGGTTAGGCAGTATGGCTAGGCAGCATGGCAAGGTATATGGTTGAGGGAGATGGAGAGCCCTGGGGACTAGGAGGAGGCCTAATGAGGTTAAATAAAAGTCAATCATCTGATATCTTCTGCATGAGAAATGTGAAGAAATAGGAGATGATGTTCTGACATCAGCATTTTAGAGTTTACAGTTCATGACATTGTCTAGGAAGTGACTGCAATGTGGTAGAAGGGAGGATAAGCGGAGTGCAGCATGACAGGAATGCTTTGAGCCTGTGGTACTGAATGACCACACTCGGGAGGTACAGAAATCATAGAAACAGAGTAGGAGGAAAGAAGAAATATAGGCAGATGACATGAACCTCAAAGAAGGGAGAAGGTTTTGCACAAGGACACAACATGTGATGGTGATTTGAATTCATCAAGGAAAACAAGAAAAATGCACATATTCATTTCAGGATGCACACAGTAGGGAGAGGTGGGCTAGTTCTGCTGGAGTTAGATACCAGTAGTAAGTCATCTCTCCAAAGACGATAGAGATTAAAATGGTTGAGGGTTGTCAAAGAGGCCAAGAGGAAAAGAAAAGGAAGGCAATTAATGACTCTAGGACCTGGCTCCCATAGGAGGATCACTGGCATGGCTC